TAACTGGATATCCATCTGCAAAAAACTGAAACAAGACCCATACCTCACACCATTCCCAGAAACTAACTCAAAATGGATCAAAGACTTTAATATAAAATTGAAAATGATAAACAGCAAGAAAGACAAAATATGGACAATGCCAGGACTCCTAATACATGGCATAAACACAATACAAACTATAAGTAACAATGCACAAGCACCAGAAGAGTGACTAGATAACTGCGAGCTCCTAAAAATCACACACTTATGCTCATCAAAAGACTTCACCAAAAGAATAAAAAGACAACCTACAGACTGAGAAAAAAATTTTGGCTATGACAAATCCAATCAGCCTCTAATCCCTAAAATCTATAAGATACTGCAAAACCTCAACAATAAAAAGACAACCCAATTTAAAAATGGGCAAAGGATATGAACAAGCACTTCATCAAAGAAGATATTCAGGTGGCTAAAAGACACATGAAAAAATGCTCACGGTCATTAGCCATTAGAGAAATGCAGATCAAAACATCATCTCACCCCAAGAAGGCTAGCCTTAATCCAAAAAATGCAAAATAATAAATGCTGGAGAGGTTGTGGACAGACTGGAACACTTATACAGTGTTGGTGGGAAGATAAAATGGTACAACCACTTTGGAAATCAATTTCGCACTTCCTTAAAAAGCTAGAAATAGAAGTACCATATGATCTAGCTGTCCCGCTCCTTGGAATGTATCTTAGAGAAATAAGAGCTGTCACACGAATAGATATATGCACACTCATGTTCACTGCAGCACTGTTCACAATAGCAAAAAGATGGAAACAACCTAGGTGCTCATCAACGGATGAATGGATAAACAAATTATGGTATATCCACACAATGGAATACTATGTACGCAACGATGAAGAACAACGATGAAGCCATGAGACACAACATAAATTTAGTCAGTCACAGAAGGACAAATATTGTATAAGACTACTATTATTAGAACTCAAGAAAAGGTTTAAGCACAGAAGAAAACATTGTTTGATGGTTACGAGGGTGGGGAGCGAGGGTGAGGGTTATTTTCTAACTAGACAGTAGATAAGAATTATCTTAGGTGAAGGGAAGGACAGTACACACTACAGGGCAAGTCAGCACAAGTGGACTAAACCAAAGCTAAGAAGTTTCCTGAATACAATCAAACACTTTGAGTGACAGAGTAGCAGGGGTAGTTTTCTGGGGACCATGCTTTCAGGGGACATC